GCACTGGCTTCTGCGCACTGAGAAAGGAGAATCACTTGAAAACTAGGGAGGAAGAGAGGTTTCCTAAGATAGGTTCCTCGGGGTCAGGCACCTTGACAGCCAATAAGAAGCTGCCTTTGCAAATAATGTTCAAAAGACACATCTCAATATAGTCATCTTGGACAGGGACTCCGAAATCCTAGAGCAGCGGGCTCTTTCCGTATCGCCAAAGGGCAAATGTTTCAACTGCGTCCCTGGATCTGTGTGCTCATACAGACCCTCCCTGTAGCGTTCCAGGTTTGGGTGGGTCGCCCTTTTCTCATTTTCCTAAGAGACTGCACCAAGCCTTGTGTGTCCATCAAAGGACTTTTAACACTCTGGAGTCAAATTGGGCTTTTGAAAATTTGCCTTTGAGGACAAAGTCTCCAGGGTGCTTGTCATCGGGCCCTTCTGGATCATTTTCTCCCAGAGAGAGGCACATTTCTAGATGACGAGAGAACCCGAGGTGGGAATGTTACCCTGCCTCTGGCTTTATGCCTTAAAATATGACCTAACACAAGCTATCATTTCCCAGAAATGAAATATGTCATGTGTTACTATTAAAGTGAACCAGAAAAAGAGCATTCTATTACAATAATGGGTTTGTTTAAAAAAAGGACACGTCAAACCCCCCAAAGGAATAATACATATTTGATAGTCCCGTTGGAGAAGCAATACCAGTAATTGCATGAGGTACTTATATTCAGTATTGTTCATATAGCGAAGAGATTTTATGTAAACCTTCCAGGAGAAGGATGGTGTCAGAGGAAAGTGAGAAACATCGTCGTTCATTCTTCAGGCAATCCATATACATTTATTGGGGTGACTGTTACATCAGTCATCAGCCTAAATGCTAGGGATGCAAAAAAAAAAAAAAAGAACAGAACATTTCCTGCCTTCAAGGAACTCACATTCCAGTTGAAGAGACAGGTGCAGCAACTAGCTACAATGCAATATGACAACAGTTGTAATGAAGAATCTAGCAGGGCCACGAGAGTGCAACACAGAGAGGGCTGTTCTTCCCAACGGAAGGAGTTTTTGCTATCCTTAGTGGCTCACTAGAGCTCAGCTGGAACTTCAAATATCAGGATGAAGCGCATATCAGGCAGATGGAACAGCATGAGCAAAGAAGTAGCAGCAGGAAAAAAAGCGTGGCGCTCTTAGGTGATAGTGAGTGGTTTTGTACAGCTACAGAGGTAAGCTTGTCACACTGTGTAAATGGCAAATACTTTGACGAACTCTTGCAGTTAAAGAAACTGGAGTGAGTTTTGAGCAGTATAATTTTTCAAAATGAATGTGTTTTACATTCTGGGCTGTAGGGCCAAGGCCCTGAGAGTAGGAGACAACATATTGCATGGTGTAAAACTGTCATTCTCACTGGGACTCATCTGTTAACTAATAAAAATACACTGACATCAAGAAGTGCAAGAAAATTGCTCCCTTCACATGCTTACGGATGGGTTGAACCTAATTTTGCAGCATTAAAACCAATTTTCTGCTGAGAAAACATGTCACAGAAGATGGCATGGATTTTTGTAATTATTAATAATATTTGATATTTCAGTGTCACCTTTTATCCTGAGATCAACCCTGTGCACACGGAAACAGATAAACTTGGAGGAGACAGGGATCATATGAATGCAGTAAGCCACACTGCATTTTTATCTGCCATATTCCAAGGCCTTTCAGCTGTATGTTTCTTCCACGTTTAAGAGATAGTGGATATAGTTGTAAAGCAGTGATTTTTTTATTAGTTCCAACTATAAGGAGTTTGAGGGTGGAGTATGGGCCATTTTTTTTGTACATAGCTCTCCTCAGGAGACAGAAATCTCCTCTAATGATGGAAATGTTCTATGACTGTTCTGTGCAACACGGTAGCCACGAGCCGCGTGTGGCTATTGAGCCCTTGAAATGTAGTGACTGCTACTGAGAAGCTGCATCTGTCTTTTAATTGAACTTAATTTTCATGGAAATAGCCACATGGCTAGTGACTATTGTATTGGACAACACTGTTAGGGTAGCTGGTGGTTTATTTTTAAACATTTCACAAACAATAAAGCGCTGTTTCCATCATCAGGAAGAGCTTACTGAGGACTAGTTTGTGGGAATGGTTCTGGCATGTTCTTGAAGTTGTAAATATCTGAAAAGAACCCCCTTATTTTACATTTGGAGAACTTTGGTTACACTTTCCCACGTCCACCCCACCCCTGCCCCCACCCCCATTCAATTTTGATTTAAAAGATGCCTGTGGAATGTTATGGCAACATAGAGTCATTTCTAAACGAAGCAGACTTACAAAAGATGTCAATGATGCCCTTAAATGCAATCTTATTTCATTAAATCACGTGTTCATCAATGACAGGCACTGGTCTACCCATTAAAAATTGGAACTCTGGTTACTCATTTTCTGAAGGGAGACATTCACCTTCACGTGTAAGATGCAATGATGACCTGGCTGGCGTAGCTCAGTGGATTGAGCGCGGGCTGTGAACCAAAGTGTCGCAGGTTCGATTCCCAGTCAGGGTACATGCATGGGTTGCAGGCCATGACCCCCAGCAACCGCAGATTGATATTTCTCTCTCTCTCTCTCCCTCCCTCCCTTCCCTCTCTGAAAATAAATAAAATCTTAAAAAAAAAGATACAATGATGAAAGAGTCTTGGGTGTCCATGAAGAAATGCAGTTTTCAGATAAACCCTTAATTTGGCACTCCTTTCTCTAAAATCACCTCCCTAGGACTTATCTGGTTTCTGTGTGAACATTTGGGAATAAACTTATTTAAGGTGAAGAAACTCATTGGAAGATTTAATTACTCAGTCTTCCTAGTCCACCTTGTAATTTAGGCTGTTAGCACTGCTAGAGAAAGAACTTAAGTAGCCCTTGGTTCGAACCATCTGTCGAGAAAATGTGGCATATGTTTGCTTTGTTTACTCAACAACCAAGTGTAAACTGATACACTGAAAGGAAAATCCACTTATGGTGTCGCTGTGTGTGTGTGTGTGTGTGTGTGTGTGTGTGTGTGTGTTGAGGGGGTTGCCTGATGAGGGAATCGATTGCCCCTGAGGAACACGTGCACAAGAGCACAGATCCCCGGGACGTCCCCGGGGTTTGGGGCGCGCACCAAGACGCTCACACCTTCCGCACAATGCACTGCATGCACTGGAGCCGCCGCTGCAGCGGCGGGGCGCGCCTGGCTGATACGTAGCTGAACAGAGAGCTACGAACCCCTCCTCCTCCCGTCCCGCCCTCAAACCCCGGTCCTCAAACTTCAACCAAAGCCCGTGCCCTTTTCAATTAACCCCCCTCGATCAAAATGAGCGGTTCTTTCTTTCCCCTCTCCTCTCAGCCCATTGTCTGGTGTGATGGGTTTGCAGAGTTGACAGCTGTGCTCACCCAGACTTGATTCAAACTCGGTTTCCCAGAGATATGAACTTGGGCATCAGCGAGAATCCCAAATACAAGCCCTGAGTGGCATGACCGCCGCCCGCCACTGCAGACTGTTCTCCAGACTCCTGTCTAGACCCAGCGTAGACTTCGTGGCCCTGGCGCCCATGGGCGTGCCCACGGGAGGGGAGCAAGTGTTCAGGGCGGGTTCGGGCGGGGGTGGGGTGGGCCGCAGCTCCCCTGAGAACGAGTGTTCCTAGGGATTGGGGTGAAGGATTGTGTATGTATTAGACTTTTACATTTATTATTTTAAAATTTACTCTTGAAACAGCCAAAATGGAAGTTCGCTTATATATGATACCCAGAGCCAGGTCTGGCGCGGTGTAAATGCACTGGGCTCCGCTTTTGTCTCCTTGTTCAAGCTGGAGGACAGAGGTAGAGACTGTGTGCATGAGTGAGTGTGTGCGCGCGTTGGCGCGGATGAGTGGGTGGGCGCAACCAGCAATGTCAGCTCGGAGGGTCTGAGTATGTCTTGAACGCTCCAAGTCTTGAGTCACAGCCGTGAGTGACGTGGGGAAAAACTTTGTGTCCAGAAGAAGGGTCTGGTTTGATTGCGGTAGGGATTAACAGTCCTCGTGCTGGTGCCCTTTTGTGGGGGGGGGGGGAGGGAGGGAGAGGGACAGAGAGAGAGAGAGAGAGCGAGCGCTCGCCGCCGGCTGTGTAGCTCTGCGTGCTCTGTGAGCGCCTGCTGGGTCGGTCCCCGGGTCAGTCCCACGGTCCGTCCCACCGCAGGCAAGTGTCTTCATCCGCGGCGTTCCTGACTGGCGAGTATCCGAGGGGTCTGGCAGTGTGCGGCGGTTCCGAGGGAGCAGAAGAAGGCCCAGGGTCTCCTGGTCTCCGAACCCGCTATCTTCCGCGCAGCTCCCAGTAACCACTAGCATCCCTAACCGGTATCTGAGCCCTAGGGGGCTCTGCTCGGAAACCGTCCTGGCCCAACTAGATCCTCCGAGCTCTCGAAGATTGCCGCATCTTTCTTCCTAGCGCAGACAAATGAGCCCGGAAAGGGAAGAAGGGGGCGGGGACACCCCCTAAAATAAATAAATAAACAAACTGGTTCCTCGCTGCAGCTGGGCACGGTCGGTTGAGTCCAGGTTGGTGGCATTTGGAGACAGTTTTCTCTTCCTGTAGATTTGGGAACCTACCGTCGCTCTCCCACACACCTCTTATACTCTTGCAGGCGCCCCTTAACTTTGGGGACCGGGGACTCGAGCGAGGCTGCACCTGCCCTGGCGCTCGGGGCTGCAGGCTGGTGCGCCGGCCGAGGCTGCTGGCGCTGATGCGCCGGAGTCCCGGGCGCTAGGCTTGTGTGTTAGCCGATGGACGTTGGGGAGGGAGCTGAGTACGCGCGCGCGGAGGGTAGGGACGCATCAGCCGGTTTTCAGCAGGAGCTGGGACTTCTGTTTCCTCTCGCCCCGCTGCCTCTGAAAGAAAGCGAGCCGGGGAGGAGGGGATACGGCGATGGGGGGCAGCGATTGGTGGTTTGGGTGGGGAGGACTGGCCGCGGAGCCAGCGAGCTGGCGCAAAGGGGGCGGCGAACTTCCCGGGAGAAGGGGCTCTTTCCGCGCCAGGGCTGCCGAGAGAGCCGCCGCCGCCGCCGCCGAGTGCTTCCACCCCCGGCAGCAGCCGGCTCCGCTCTCAGCGCTCAGAAAGTAACGTTATTTATTTATTTGCTTGCGTTCAGCCTCTTAGGTTGGACCAGATAGACACCCCTTTGGACTTCGGGAGCCTGCGTCTGGCCTCTCCAGCCGCCCTCTGTGGGTGCAGGCGGCTCCGCGGAATATAGGCACACGCACACCCAGTGCCCCCGCCCCGCGCCCAGACACGGGTAGGGGTGGGCCTTCACTCGGGCTCTGGAAAGTACTTCAAGGCGGGAGCAGAAGAGGGCAGAGGGGCAGGGGAAGCTCCAGCCCTCTGGGCCGTCATTTCAGAGCGCGCTCTTCCTTCCAGGTTGGGTCGGACCTGAGCCCCTAGAAGCGGAACCGCCTCCGGCTCTCGCGCCCGCCTGGAGCTGAGTCGCCCGCGGCTGTGGCTGCAGACGGACAGCGGAGTTTCCTCTCGTACTGGATGGAGCTGAACTTTGGGCGGCCTGAGCAGCGCGGCCGCCCAGGGATCACTGCATGCTGAGTTCCCTCGGCGAGAACCGTCTGCAGCTCAGGATTTTTTGGGGGGGGTGGGGACCAACTGCGCTCCGGCACCATGTTCCTGGCGACCCTGTACTTCGTGCTGCCGCTTTTGGGTAAGTCGAGGCTGCCACTGGATTTCTTACCCGCTGAGTCTTCTCTCCGAGTCCTCTTGGCGCAGGGTGCGGTGGGTGTGGGAAGGTGAAGTTTCGTTTTGGGGAAGGGGTCATGAATCCTAAGCACCTCAGCCTGGGGAGGCGGTGTCTGCGCGCACTTGCCCGCAGCTTCGTGCTTGGTTTTTCTTTTCTGTGGTTTTTAATGACCAAGCCTGGCGGAAATAAAGGGGTGCGAGTCCTCCATCCTGCGGAGCAGGCAGACCCCCGTGTGAGTCCCAGGGAGCTCGTGGAGGTGCAGCGTCAGGTGGGGTGTGGGAGAGCATCCGGCCAGAAGACAAACTTGGAAGGGAAAACTTTTTTCCGAGCAGCACCCCCGTGCTCCCCACCGGGCGGGCCGCGGACCAGGGCTCGCCTGCGGTGCGCCCAGAGCCCAGTCCGCCGCGGTTCTCCTCTTCTGGGAGCTCCCCCTGCCCCCCGGCCCCCGGCTTCAGGCGGACCTGGCCGAGCGAGATGCTGGAGCCTCGGGCTCCGGCAGGTCTGCCCTGGGGCTGCGGGGTCGGCGCGCACGGTGGGCCGCGCCAGGTCTCCGGGAAACCCCGAAAAGTCCGTAAACCTCAGGGGCTCGGGAGGGTGGGGTGTGGGGGAGACCAAGGGACAGGAGGTCCCGGGGAAGGAAAATGGACTCGCGGGTGTAATGTGTGTGTGTGTATGTGGGGGGCGCTCCCTGCATAGGTCGCCCCAGGAGCCTAGACAAGCACGCGCCCTTCCGGGGGGCAGGAGCGGCTGGGCATGGGCCAGCCGCACTCACGCTCCTTCCCCTCCACCCGCAGACGTGCTCCTGTCCGCGGAGGTGAGTGGCGGGGACCGCCTGGACTGTGTGAAAGCCAGCGACCAGTGCCTGAAGGAGCAGAGCTGCAGCACCAAGTACCGCACGCTGAGGCAGTGCGTGGCAGGCAAGGAGACCAACTTCAGCCTGACGTCCGGCCTGGAGGCCAAGGACGAGTGCCGCAGCGCCATGGAGGCCCTCAAACAGAAGTCGCTGTACAACTGCCGCTGCAAGCGGGGTATGAAGAAGGAGAAGAACTGCCTGCGCATCTATTGGAGCATGTACCAGAGCCTGCAGGGTACGCGCCCACCGCGCTCGCTCCCCCTCCCGCCCCCGGGGCTGGCTGACCTCATCCTCCACTCGCGTCTCCCCAGCTGCAGAATGAGGACCTTTCATTGGCCCCCAGGGACAGCAGCAGCTGGTGTTTGCCGCCTCCCCAGCTGCGTTGTTGGGCCTGGCTGTTGGAAAACCCATAAGGGAGTAAGGGGGACACCACGAGGCCATGCTGATCTCTTCGAAACCTGGTCAGAGCAGGGAGTAGGAAGCCATTAAAGGCCACCCGAGGAACCGCAACTTCTCTGTAAGGAGAGAGGGCTTCCCAGATTAATACAAAGACTCGCACTGCGCCTGGCCTGGAGTTTCTGCCTTTATTCTGTCCTCCTGTCTCGTCTGACATAAGATAAAGAATTAAGCACTGAAAGTCCAGTAGAATCTATTCTGTCTTTGCCCCCCACCCCCAACCTGACCAAAGGCTGCTGTGGGAAAAACCATTTGTCATCTTAGATTAGCTGAGTCTCAAACCAGCTGGTGCGGTTCAGCCTTGGTTAACACAGAAGTGGCTTGGAGAGGGAAAGGCCCACTTGTCACCACCATCCACTCCCATGGCAGTTTTTTGGTCCTTGGGTGACAGATGTAGGTCTTGCTTGTAAATCTAACACAGACACCCAGTGCATTCATCCCCCACTGAGATTCACACCAAAAAATTTGCAATAAACAGAATTGGCTTATCAGCTGCCACTTCTGCCAGAGCCTCTCCTGAAAACCTGTTTCCAAGACTGACTGTTTAATAGCCAGGGTTCCTGCTCTGTGACCACATGCCCCATCTTGGGAATAAAGGAATGGGGGCTTCATTTGAATCACCTTTCTTCCATTGGCTCCTGGAAGCAAGCTAGGCATGTGATATCCTAGTTTCTTTCTCGCTGATTTCATTCTTTTGCAAAAGTAGGAGAGTTTGCTGGCAGGATCAGGCAGGGTTGTTCTTCAGTGTTTCCATGGCTCTCTGGGGACAGCAAGGACAACAAAGGCAGAGGGGAAGAAAAACAACCAGAAGCCAAAGAGAGGCATTTGAAACGTTTGAAAGTTTCAGCATCTTTCAGCTCCCCAATCGCAACATAATTAGAATTCACTTCCAGTAACAAAAACTGCCTGGAATATGTGTGTGTGTTCCCTCTCCGAGCCCCATCTTTCTTCTGCTTTCAGGAAATGATCTGCTTGAAGATTCCCCGTACGAACCAGTGAACAGCAGGCTGTCTGATATATTCCGCGTGGTCCCCTTCATACCAGGTAAGCAGGTTCGTACTTCCACGCTGGGGCTTTCGCCTGCTTGCAATGCGCTGGCTTGCATTCTCTTTGGCTCTCAGAGAGCGTATGAGGAGCTGAATGGCACAGAGTTTCTGGGAAATTAGAAGTAGGATGATGATAATGAAGAGGCAGGATGCCTAGAGATGATTGTATGACTTGAAAGTAATTCTAAATGAAGTAATGTGGCGTGGTGGTTTGGAAGAGGTTGGAGGGAGGTGACTTGGTTGAATTTTTTTTTCACCTTAAAATGCGATTGGCCAGCTCTTGCAATGGGAGTGCCAGTTCTGTCTGTAGGTGGCAATCGTATTCCCTTCTTGCTACACGCTGTGCACTGTGCTTCCCTGAAACGGGATCTGTTTGAATGATGCCACTTACTTTATGAGATGCCTCAAGATGATCTGAGGTTGTTGAACAGTTTTGGCTTCACTCATTTGTCTGCCTTTGACTTAAAAGATTAAGCTCCACCACGTGATAGCAGTTCTTTTGTTTCTATTTTTTCCTGGGCCGGTGTGTGCAAACGCAAGATAATACATCACTGCTGCCCCGGTGGCTGTTGAAAAAGTAGTCTTGCCTCCCACGGTTTGTTTTGTCTCTCCTTGCAAGCCTGCATTGGGTTGGGAGGGGGACTTAGTTTTAGAATTAAGTTTGTCATAACATCGGCGTTCAGACAGCCACGTAGATAATGAGCAAGGCAGTCATCTCTCCCGGTGATCTTCAGATTCCTGACTGATGTTGTCTTCATTTGTTTACAGTGAAGATGTTTTCTCAAGTCTTTATGGCCGTCACAAATGATACGTTTCTCAGCGGTAGTTATGCGTGGTGGTTAAAGTAGAAGTTGATTCTATGAGATGGTGGTTCGTCACTGGCGAGAGTGTTCGGGTGTTCTAAATGTTACATGTTTTTCTGCAGAGAGCCGCAGAACCAAGGGAGTGTGTAAATACTGAGCTTACGTGTGGGTGGGTTGTAGGTGCATTTATTCATTTCTCCACATGCAGGGAGCACCTACTACGTCCCAGCCATTGAGCTTTTGGCAGCGAGCCTGACAGATGCTGCCCCTGCCCTCGTGGATCTTAGAGGCAGCCAGCAGCGGACATTTATCAAGCCCTTATTATACTATACCAGACACTGTGCTAAAACTTTCACGTCATTAACTTAGGTAATCATCACCAAGTGCTTCTTAGCTATTCTTATTTCCATTTGAGAGACGAGGCGGTTGAGGCGGCGTGAAGTTAGGAAACCAGTCCGAGCATCCAGGCTCCTCGGCGGCGAAACCCGAATTGAAACCCAGATGTGTCTGATTCCAAGATCACACATCTTGTGTGACGTCTGCCCCCGGCTGCTCTGTGTGTGGGCCTCAGCACGGCAGCGTGGAGTCTCCCTGGGAGGTGGTTAGGACGGTGGGAACCTCAGGCGCTGTCCCAGGCCTGCTGAATCAGAATTCACATCTCAGGATCTCTCTGCTTTCCATGCTCATGAAGCTTGAGAAGCACTCCTGCACATTTTTCTGTCTTTCTTTTGGTTCAGAGGGAAAGAGTGTACATGCATATGTGTTCGGGGTTAAGACATAAGGGTACACGTTTAGTATCAGACATTCATTTATGATCCTGAAGAATACCCACAATTTCCATTCCGAACCTCTGCTAATGCTCTCTGTCCCCTTAGCCCAGCCAGGACAAGTGCACGTGACCATCTGGGCTCTCATGCAAGCAGGTCTGCAGGAGCTAGGATCCATGTGCCAGATGGGGTACCAAAATGAACTTGGCCTTCCTAGTGCTTTTGAAGGGCACTGCCTTTTGCCTGCCGCCTGCCCTATGGATGCGTTACTCCTCAGTCTTTGTACAGATGCCCGGAAGGATGCGAACCTCCCGTGGACAGCGAGAGGGAAGAAGTGGGCTAGGAGGAAGGCCCATTTGGGTTTTATTTTCAGAACTGCTATGGGACTTGAACAGACTCATTTTCCCCTCTCTGGATCTCCCTTCTCTTGGTATATGAGGCCATTGGAGTGAGTAATCTCCAGCCCTAACAGTCCGTGATGCGGAGGGAAGACCAGCGTCACCTCCAGAATGCCTCCACTGTGCGCTCGCGTTTGTCTACTCAGTCCTCGCCTTCACACTGCACGCCGAGTGGCGGGGTCATCCTCAGATACCACTGGTTTGTCTGAATGTCTTTGGTGAGGGAGTCCTAGAAATATTTCTGCGTGGACCAGGTTGCACCCATTCATGTTTGGGATCCCTCCCTCAGCCAGGCGTCTTTTCATAGTCGATACGACACCGAGTTTGTGAGACCTGTCCTGTGAGAACCCAGAAGTCATGAGGAATTAATCAGAGCCAAGAAGGCCTTGTCTAGAGCTGCATTTTATATCTCAAGGGCATTGGATTTAGGTTCCAGCGCTAATGAGCTTTGACTTCTGACAGTGACTCCGTGCCTTAAGTGGGTATAGGAAAGCCAGATGGAGCCCTGAGAGGTTTTAAGTCATTGAATAATGCATACGATCCAGTTTGGCAATTGGAGGGTGGAGAGGGGCAGAGGAGCAGGATGATAAATGTTGCTGTGCGTGGTCTGCATCGGCGTTTCTAGAACACGTCTCCTGTCCTCTCTGAGGGAACCAGGACAATCTGCGGGGTACAGATACAGTAGCAGTCAGAGTTTCCATATTTGGATTTCTCTGCCCGGTGCGAGGAGAGTGTTTATTCACGTACATTAAGTGTGAGCCGAACCCTCTCACGGAACGTGACATGTTTGACATCCTCGAGTTTCCATTTTCTTTCGGCTCCTCAAAACCCACAGGCGCCTTTGTCGCTGTTTACTGGATCACACCAGTTAACAGACCATATTGAGGTATCGCGGGGGGGGCCTGGCAGGAACACCGGAGGGAATCAAAATAACGTTGGAGCTAAGAACTGTCACCTGTTCTGAAGCCGGGGTTGCAGACCGGAAATGAAAGGAAGCTGCCCAGCCAGGCAGGAAGTGCGGTGGGAGGTGGGGTGGGGGGGGGGGACCACTCTGGTGGAAACGTGAGAGCCGAAACGTGAGAGCCAGTGCATCTCAGGCACCTTCAAGGGCCCCAGCAGGTACCCTCACTGTGGGCTGGTGCCAGTGTGGTTTTTAGGGGTCTTGGACATGAAGAATGAGGCGGTGCGTGGGAATGCACGAAGGAAAACCTGAGCCAGCGCAAGAGGGTGTTGGAGGAGAGAACACAGGAAAGTGCTTTGGGGACCAGGAGGGGGTGCTGGGAGGCCCAGAGGACAGAGCCACCTCGTGGGGTTTCGCACCTGCGTTTCTGGCAGCCAAGGCTCTCCAGCTCTTGACTCTCCATCCTGCCTGTATTTCCTTCTTTGCAGAAGTTCAAGAAGCAGCAAGAAGTGAATAGTGATTTGAAGGGAAGATGAACTTAGCAATGTCGTTGGACTCTCTGGAGCAGGGAAAACAAAGCAGAGAGGGATTTTGAAAGTAGCGTAGGGAGCCAAGGAAAGCCAGGGAGGGAGGCTTGCATGGATGATATGGGGACCTTGATGGCAGCCAGAGAGAAGGAGGGCTCCGTGGTTTAAAAGTATTGATCGGGAGGTTGGGTTTTGCAGAGGAGAGTCAAGAGATGCCCTACCTTCTTAGAATATAATTGACGTCGCTGGACTTGCGAACAAGAATCAGGCGGATGATCCTGGGGAAAGCGTGGTGTTAGGAATGGAACAGCCTAAGTCTGATTTGGCAGAAGACATGTTCCAGCCCTCCGGCTGCACCATTCTTTTCCTTCCAAGTCCTAGGAGTGGCTTAGACCCTCCCAGGCAGCCTGAGCATCTTGAGATTGGTTCCCAAGTAATGGTTTGCTCAGGATGAGATGCTTCTGAACTCTCTTCTGAGTCTGGTGCCTTTTTTTTCTGAATGATGATGCTTTGAATAATGAGCCATGCTGAGCATTTCCGTTATAATGTACCATTATTTTATGTCACTATTAAGAATTTTTTTCTGAAAACCTTTACATGTTGAAGAAGAGCCTTTTGAGGTCCTCTGATTTCTCATCGAATCATGATGAGAGGAAAGGGTTTGTGAGATATCAGAATCTAGGGGGTGTATAGTGGTCCTTTCCTTTCCATCCAGCTCTCTAAAACAGCTAATTATGTTGTCCCATTATTGGAGAACTCCAATTCCTTTCTTGTTACCTATTCTGGCACGTGGTCCACTCCTTCCAGTCCAGCGGGCCCCTCCACCTCGCCTCTACCCAAGCTCCCTGAGCAATCCATCCCCCAGGTGCTTCCCGTGCATTCGCTTTCTTGTGCCTTTGCCCATGGCGTTGCCTCTCTTTGGGAAGTCTCTGTGAGTCCTTCAAGACCAAGATCAAATTTCATCTCTGGGGGCCAAGCTGTAATTCTCCCTGACAGGCACTTCCACCCAGGACTCTTGCGTGCTGCACTTTGCTCTTGCCTTTATGGCAGCTGTTCATCACAGCATCTCGAGAGGACTCATTTATGCGTCTGTCTCTCCCAGTAGGAAGCCCAGGACTCACAGAGTATTAGGCTGGGTGTCTTCTCAGCGTGGACCATCCTTCCTGGCCCTGAGGGGGTGTCCCATTGACCACAGGTGGTTGAATATTAGAGAAGAGGGGCCTTGAAAAGGGTCTAGGGTGACCCTCTATTTTACAGAATTGAAGCTCAGAGAGGAGAGGCAATTTGGCCAGGCCCGCACTGCTTGAGGGTAGCCTCCAAGACTTTCTCCAGAACATGTCACTGGCTCAGAGGAGGCCAGTGTTGGTGTCTTTCTGTCCTGCATACTCTCTGGACAAACTTGATCCATTCCTGGGACCTTGGTTACCACTTACACCCAGGACTTGGAGTCTTCCGCTCCATTCCTACCTCTTTGGAGCTCTAAACCAGTATTTTCGTCTGAATCCTGGATGCCTCCATCCAGATGTGTGTCTCAGCTATTCCAAACTCGATGTGTCCACAGTGGGTCTCATCTTTATACCTTATAAGATCTTTTCTCCTTAT